CCCACGAAAACCAACTCTTTCCGATGGTGATGTTACACGCAGGCAGGCAGGCAGGCAGGCAGGCAGGCAGGCAGGCAGGCAGGCAGGCAGGCAGGATGGGTGTTGGGGGGCTTTTGGTGGGGACACATCCGGAGGGCCCGGCCCCCTTGCCTCCCCAGGCCTTCCACTCTCAGCCACTGTGATTCCCACCCAGGTGTGCGTGGGGGTGCGTGGAAATAGCAGGAACACAAAGCTCACGGCTGGCTGGGTGGCCTGTCGTATGGCTCTGTCGGCCCTCTGTCCGAGCCACCGTTTTGAGGATTGGCCCTGCGGGTTGGTAACAAAGCCTCTGTGCTTGTGTAGAGTGCCTTTCCCTGACTGCTGGCTAATCGGACCCCGTAGGGAGAGTCCAGACCGGGAGGCCTTGCACGTGCATCCAGCCTTCCTCCCACCACACACGCTGGGCAGAGGAGGGGGCTCCTGGGGCTTTCATTAACCTGCCCAGCCACACAGCCGGGGGGGGGGAGGGGGGGGTCACTGTGGAAGGCGGCCAAAGCCCCGCCCCCCCCCCGGTTCCTTGCCTGCTAGCCCAGCCGCAAATGACCGTGCTGCTTAGCTAGCTGTGCACCCTAAAATGAGCAGCAGCAGGGTGCCGGCATCTTATCCTCAGCCCAGCCTGTAAGGAGGAATTGTGGGTTGGGGGCAGTGTTCCCTCCAAGCTGAGTCGGTGTGAGCCAGCTCACAGTTCTTTAGCCTCCAGCTCACACATCTTTGTCTCCGCTCAGGCAGGACGGGGCTCCAGAGCGAACTGATTCATGCAGGAGCCAAACGGCTCGCTCACAGCTTTCATGCCAGGAGCTCAGAAAGTAGAACGTTTGCTCACGAGACACCACGGCTTAGAGGGAGCTTTGGTTGGGGGGGGAGCAGAAAGATGCAGGGCAGGCGGTGTCACAGGTCCACACGCCCGCCGCCCCCCCTTGCCCTGTGGTTTGTTTTTTTGGGAGGGGCGGAATGCCTGCCATAGAGGCACACCTACTAGGCGAAGGGAGCATGGTGTGTGGCTGTGTGGGGGGGTGTTAGGTGCTTGTCAGTGTGGTGCCCCCCCAGTTGTGACAGGCCGTGCCCCCTCCCTCTCCCCCCTGCATCATCAGGGAGACATCTCTGGGGCCCCGTCCGTCCATCCGTCCATCTGTCCATCCCTCACGATTCAGAAGGAAACTCCTGGAGGCGGTTGCCTAGCAACCGGCTCTGGCCGATGCAGAGACACTTGGCTGGCAGGGGGGGGAAGGCCAGGGGAGCCCCCGGTTCTCACCAGAGAAGCATCATCGCAAGGCGGAGGTGCCCCCCGGAGCCCCCTGCCAGGGCTGGGGTAAGTGGCAGGGGCAGGGCTGGGCAGCTGCCATGGCGCGGAAGGAGCCCGGGTAGCTGGCACTGCCAAGGATGGAGGGGGAGCAGAGGAAGGGGCGGCTGCCATTCTAGGCTCTTCCATTGCACAGTTGGCGGGGGGGGAGAGGGAGGGCTGAAGCTCAGAGGAGAGCGCCAACGTGCGCTCCAGAGCGACAGCCACGGCTGGCAGGCCTCGGATGCAGCACGGCAGCCGGGGAGGGGGCCGAGCCCCCCGGCCCGGCTGCTCCCCACACACCGTGCAAGGGGCAGGCCGCTGCTCTCTCCCTCTCCCAGGCACCGAGCACAGGGAGACGTCACCAGGGACCCAGGCCATGCGTGGCTGCAGGGATGCCGAGGCCTGAGAACAACACCTTCGGCAAGGCCCCTGCGCAGGTACGGAGGCCGGCCCGCGAGACGGCTGGGGAAGGGGCTGGAGGGGGGGCAGGAGCCGTGCTACGTGACACCACCCCCAGCCTTTGCAGGGCAGGAGGGGGCGCTCCCTCACCCAAGCGCCACCACTGCCTTGGCAGCGGCACCTGCCGGCCACACGTGAGGCTGGACTTGGCCCGGGGCTGCAACAGGGCCGCCCCACCCGTTGCGCCAATGCGCAGGCTTCGGCCTCTGCTCCCTGGAGCGGAGGTAAGTGGGAGAGAAGGTTGGGGGGGTCCTTCGGGACCAGTTAGAGAGAGGGGGTGGGTGGGCCTCGACTCGGCCATCTGCCTCCCATGCCTCTTGGATGTGCCATTGTCCAGAAGTACGAGGCTTGGAAACTTCATTGTGAAGGCATGGGGTGCCCCTCCCGCCCCCGACTCCTGGCACGCTGGTGCTTCCCACACGGGGACGGGATTCCGTGGCTTCTTCCTTGCTGGCGCTTCCACGTGGCAGGTTCCTCTCCAGGTTCCCTGCCCACTCCCCCACAGGTGTCCACCCCCCCCCCAGGGTTTTTGGATTTTTTCCTCCTAAATCAGCACAAGAATATTGTTATGGCAGAGTGACACACATAAGTTTCTATAAAAGCTTTCCAAGTACGTATCTAAAAACAAGTCCATGTGCAGTTGTCGTCCACATGTCGCTTTGGTGTCCCGAACATGATTTTTTGCTGAATAAGTTGCAACTTAAGTCCATAGAGAATGCAAGGATAAACTTTAAGAGCTTATTCTGTTGCTTTGGCAAACGCCCGGGCTCCTTGTCTAACTCCTTATTCCATTCATTCTTGAGATTTTGCATATTTATGAATCAACATCAAACATTTATAAACAAATATTGTAGGGTTTTCCCCCCTGCATTGATTCAATTAACGTTTCTAAGATCTGCCATCATAGTTGTTATATTTTTGTTTCTATTTTTTTCTTTATATCAACTGCTGGATTTTGAGTCCCCCCCATCTTTTTGTTTGTTTTTCAAAAGAAATGTTTTTTAAAAAGATATCCTTATATTGATATAATGTTGTACTGACAGGCAGAGCAGATTGTCTGAATTCCCGGCTTTCATTTGAGAAAAACAAGTAAGTCTCTAGCCTCCTCCCTTGCGGAGATACACATTTATCCTTATATCTCTGCAACAGAAAGGGTAGAGACGTTCTTATTTTTAAACCAGAGGTGCAAATTCAGAGAACCAACCGCACCTGTCGTTAACAACAGTCTATAAATACAACAGTGTTCTAGTTCCGGGTTTTCAAGACCATAAAAGCCCCCTGGAGGCCGGGGAAGGAAATGGCTGCTGTGGGGACAGAGTCAGGGGAAATGGCTGCCGCGTGGGCCCGAAAACCCAGCCTTCCCCACTTGGCTGCAGTGTTCC